ATCCCCAATATTGAAGAAAAAGCAGCAGTAAAAGTTTATTTAAAGCACAAGGTCTTCAGCCTGTTTCTGTATGAGTTTTAGTTCAATGAACAATTTAGAGAGAATCTTTGAAGAGAAATCATATAAGGCCAAAAATGTATCTTGATCCTTTAAGATTTCAGAAAGTGTCTCTTCATTGAATTTCAGTAATTTTATATCTTTCTTAAGCTGATTTCTATCCATTTGAAATGCTGAACATAAGAAGAAAAGGTGCTCTGATGATGCCCAAACTAATGTATTTATGCTGCAGGAGTTACACCACTTAGACACCTTTGAGAGTTGGATGCATTTTTTACTGAAGGGCCATGAATTTTTTAAAATAGCTACAGCATCATGTATTAAAGGGATGTTAGATGATGCAAATAGTAATGGTTTAGTATTGCCACAAGCAAGAACAGCTAGTAATGTGTTACCATTATATTACTTGACCATGAATGTTTTTCATACCCTCACAAATGATTCATCAAGGTACAATTAACTTTCTGTATTTCAATTAACTGGAGCAAAGTTAACAATTCATAAGATTATAAGTCAAATCAACCTGGATGCATAAGGAAGACGTTTGTACTTTTATTTATCAGCTTTAAGCGTGTCTGGTTCAGACAAAAATCTGTACATAATCTATACTGTAATTCTGCTCAAGTATACTACTTTACGATGAACGTTTTCCAGACCTCTTCACAAATGTTTCATCGAAAAAAAATGAAAATTTTAAATTCGTGTTTCAAATATCAAATGATGAACTTTTTCATTTTCCGTGATGAGTTATTCAATTAAAAACTTACACGCAGAGAGCTGATGAAAGCAAAATTTTGCCCTGATGAAATTTCAGAAATAAAATCCTAAAATTTGATTTGACGTACGTTCCTTGTATACAGTAGTTAATTGCATCCACACTGTTGTATACGCAGTGAAAAACTTCCAGAAGACCACGATTTTTAATACTTCATTGCTGAAGGCAATATCACTCACCAGAGAAATTAGAACAGTAGCCAGAGCAGCATAAACCAGTTCCATGACCCGCAATACCTCCGGTGATACGAACATAGAAGTTAGGATCATCACCAACAAATACAGCAAGAGGATGAAGCCGAGGATCATCAGTATTCCAGCACATTTGGTAATATCGACCTGGACATTTCCAGCATTATTTCACTGCAACAAAAATTTGTATTCGTCTATCCCATTCAGAGATAAATGCTCACCAACTTCAGCAATGATACTATGCAAATGACGAAAACCACCAGACAAGTTGAAGCTGCGGCAATCAGCACCGACTTGATGGAGTACAATGCGCAAATCGTTGCTCCGAGGCAAGACACTGCAACAGTCTGAAGACAATAATATCATAGTTTAAAGAAATCTCATTTATTAAAAATTTATTCAACGTCGTTGAATTTTTCTGACAATCGCAAAGTGGATAAAGCACTTGATTTAATCATTCGGAATTTCGTCGGAACTTTGTTGTTGTGTGCATGTGCTGTACTCTCATTATACGCCCGATTTTATGATTTGTTTATTTTTTTATTTCACTCATAGATGTCGCTTTATCACAATTCTTCGTCCAATCGATTCTTTTATCGTTGATTTAGGACGCATGAATTAAAAATGGTTTGGTCAGGGTCTTGCTTCAGAAGAAGGCAATATATCCGTGCTGTGATGAGGTTCAAAATTTATAAAACTAGGTCAAAAACCTGAAAAGTTCGACTGATTAATTCTTACCAAGGCGCCCAGAAGAATTAAATTCCAGGGATGTCGTCTGCGGAGGTTCTGACAGCAGACAATTACGCATGTCGTCACCATATAAAAGACCCTGAAGAATTGAGTCATATATGTAGGAATATCAGTAGATTCTGCTTCAAACTGAAAACGAATTGGCGCATAAACAATAATATACACTACTCACAGGGATAACAGCATGATCCACATGTTCCGCAGGATGAACCTCCGGATATCTTTTCTGCACCCGACGAGAGGAACAAAATTAAATAAAATTTCGGCATTGACAATAAATATCAAGTGTATATACGCGTCGATAACATAAAAAAGTCAACGTTTTCTTGAAGCAGCATTGAAGCATCTTGAAGCAGTCATGACCAGCAGTGTTCCCAACCTTTTTTCGGTCCACAGACCACAAAATGTTCCTAATATTTTTTAGACTAGCAAATTTCCATAGCATTTTTGCAAACCAGCAGACATTTTTTTAAATATCTGCCATAAAGGCATCCAAAAAAAATTTTTTTTTTTTTTTTACAAAAATCAAGTTAAGAATCAATGAAGCAGCTACAGTGGAATGTATTTCAAAATTCGAAAACTGGGCTTCAAAAAAGGTTTTTCAGAATGAATGCTTGAAATAATTCATTTCAGCATGTGAAAAGTTGTCTGAAGTGTTTTAAAAAGAGAAAAGCCAACTTTTTTCATGAGATAATTTCAACTGTCATTGTCACAGAAGTTTTTGCTGGTCTGCAGGAAATTTTGTCATCAAAATAAATGTATCAAAAGTAGCAATGAAGTCCAGTATCTTCATGTGAGATTTTGAAAAGACAGCAGTTAGAATTATCGGATGAAACATAAAAGTTAGCCTTTCTATTAATACTATTTCAAACAATTTTTCAGCGGCTGAAATAAATTATTTTTAGGTCTCATTCTGGGAAACTTTTATTGAAGTCGAGTTTCCTATTTTTTGATAGGTGCTTCATTGGTTCTCAACTTAATTTTTTGCAGCAAAAGTTTTGGTTGGAAGCCTTATAATGTCAGGTATTCAAAGATTGTTGGCTGGTCTGAAAAAATGTTATGCAACTTTGCCAGTTCACAAAAAATTTATGGAACTTTGCCAGTCTAAAAAAAAAATGCATGTAAATTTGCTGCTGGTTCTCATACAAATACGGTATTATAAAAATTGGCTGGCTAATTGGTGGGCCCAACAAGGTAGAGGAACACTGCTGAATATACTCACACAAAATAACAAATGGAGATGACCGCTGTAGTAAACAGCAGTTGGATTCCGAGAATTGCGAATACCTTGGCAACAAAACGTTGCCTTATTTTTTTGTCCATGAAGGATGGGGCGAATGGATCTCTTTGGTCTTCTTCAAAGCCCTGATCGCGCATATCACCTTGTTGATACACGGGTCCTTCCTGACGAACATCTTGCTGCGGAATATCAAAAGCAGGCATCCATAATAATAATGCGCTGAGAAAAATTCCTAGATAGATACAATTAAACAGGGTGGGACATACCCTTTATAATATACTGCATATACAGGGAGGGCCAAAACAAATTTAAACAATTTTTGACTTGAAATAGCTCAGTAGCAAATTGAGATGTGGCAATGAAAACAAACACCAAATGAAAGCTTGTTCAATTTTCTTTCACATGGTCCAAAAGTGTTTGGTCCCAAGTGCAACATAATGGTCACAAGAACCATTTGAATGAAAGCTTAAAAGAAAAAAAGTTGTCAGGTAACTTTTCCCACTAAGCTGCTGTAAAGGAAATGCATGATGCAATAATGCAAACAGCAAACTTAATGGTGGAAAAGCGTTTTAAAAATCTGACAAAAAGGCCAAAAGCCTGAAATCTCATTAGAAAATCTTTGTACAGTATTCTTTTAAAACAAATTTTACAGAGTTACGAATACTGTATCTTGGGAAGGTTGGCTTTTGGACAATCGTCGTGTATTTACTGTATGATTGTTAGATGTGGCGAAAAAAAGTTACAATTTTTAGAAAATACCAAGCCCTCAAAAATCAAGGTGATTTCAAGGAATGATTTTTTTTTGCATATTTGTCAAGTATGGAATATTAGGGGACGCGCGGCCTTGGTATAACAAACCCCCTCTTTCTGTATTCAGTATTTGCTGTAATTATGAGTACAGTACAGGTGCACACACCGCAGCTGGGTAAATGACGATGGGCCTGTTAGTGTAGCCTTCTCTGACAGCAGTTGTTCCATCGGGACCCGGAGCAACCGGCGGGTACGGTTGATACGACGGCGGAGGTTGTCCGGCGGGATAGGGAGTGTTTCCTTGTTGTGGATAAGGAGGCGGCTGTTGCCCGTATCGATTGTTCGAATTGTAGTTGCTGTTTGGCGGATAGTTGTTCGGAGGCGGATAGTTGTTATTTGGAGGCGGATAGTTCGAGCCCATTTCTCACGAGAGCATTAGCCAGAAACAAAAATTAAAGCGATCTCAAGCAGTTTTGGAAGGAATCCACGAAAACCTTCTTGGAATTTAGCTGATTTTTACTGAAGCAGGCTAAATTATCAATGGTTTTTCATTTGAAGAAAGGAGAGAAAGTTTTTGAGGGCACTTTCAAAGTTGAATTTCCTTTCCCCTCGAGATACTATTTGAGCTTTTGATGCGTTACTTTACAGGAGGGGGACAGGGGGGGTATGCCGAAATGCGGATTGATCATTGAATGCATATACTGTACTGTACAGCAGTACAGTACCGCTGTAGATGTGGAACTACAGTACAGTACTGTATTATTTTTGCCACTCTCGGGAGTTGACAAGAGAGCGATATCTAGATACAGTACGTTTGCTTTTTCGTCAGACATCCCACCCATCGCACGGTCATCACCTATATGCCTCGGTGCGGTACGAAAAGTTTACTGTACTTATCATCTCGCCGAGATCGGCGGGCTTGCAATTTGCCGGTAGTTCAAGGATGTGGATTTGAAAAAAGTGACGATAAGGTTGAGCTTTACGGTGCATGTACCGATTTATTACTATATTTGTGTTTGCGCGCTGTGATGAATTGATTGTAATAGTGTTGATTATTTTCCAGTGAACTGTTCGTAAACGTCGCGGAAGATCTCCTGAGTGGAAATAATTCTTATCAGCCATGGTCAACAAAGCGCACCCTCCAGAGTTGAAGAAGTAAGTATTATCACCATTCGGACGTGTAAATCAGTATTAATTCATGAATGTTTTTTTTCTTTTTTTCAGGTACCTCGACAAGCAGATCACCGGTAAATTTTGATGCGTCATGATAGGCTAACTCTAGCATATTGATTCTCATGTTTCTCCTTATAGTGAAGTTGAACGCTGCTCGAATAGTGCAAGGAGTTCTTCGTGGATTCGATCCATTCATGAACTTGGTGTTAGATGATGGCTTCGAGCTATCTAAGGACGGCCAAAGAAACAAAATCGGGATGATCGTAAGTAGTGCTGTCTTTGGAAGTGGTTCCACATTGTGATGACGGATTTATTTCTTAGGTCATCCGAGGAAACAGCATCGTCACTTTGGAAGCACTCGAAAGGATCTAAATTTTTTTCGTCCGTGTTTATATCTCTTGATTTTGTGGTCTCAATAGTGGAGAAAACCTCATTCGTAAAAGTCTATCGGACTTGAGTTCATCAAGCCTTTGTCAATTCCTGAACTTTAGCTGCAAGAATGCATATTTTTCGCAGATGAATTACGATCGTCGTGGAGGTGCGGGCTATTCTCCACGTGGTTTTCGTGGTTCACCAATGGGCCCTCCGCGAGGCTCTCCCAATTTTTCGCCGTCACCCAGGTTCAATTCGGGTAGCCGTGGTGGTTCACCCGCATATTTTCCCTACGGATCCTCACCACGTCATCGTACCCCTCCGTTTACACCTCGGTTTTCCCCTCGGTTTCCGTATCGTGGCAGGTCCGGCGGGGGTTCATCAGGGAGGGGGTACAACTCAAGCTACCGCGATTCTCGCAACACTGAAGTTTTGCGGAGGATTGATCATGTGGTATGATGGATTTGCGTGTGAAGCGTTAACAAAATTAATAATTGTATACATTTTCATCTTTCGTGCTATGAGGACGCTCAAAGTTATTTCCACCCAGCCATGCTGGAAGATCCATGGTCTGCTTTCGTGACTTCTGAGAAGCGAGCTGATGTCTCCAGTGAAGACCATGGTCCGGATGCTGGAGATGTTCAAGCTTTGGAAGATGATACTCCGTCACGACAGGATTGATGTTTTTCTATTATTGTGATAAACGTGTTTTTTATGCCAATTGTCTCGGGTAGTGCTTCTTTGACCAAGTGATGTTTCGTGAGATTAATTTTGATATAGTTCTGAACAGGGAAAGCAACGAAGCGGTAGCAAAATGTTCAAAATTTTTGACGACCCGTAGTTTTTCGTTATATTCCGCGTCCTTCGTGGTGTGCAGGATGGCGACTGGAACGTGCCTTCAGGTCAGTCATAATTTTCATTTTTTCCTTAAACGTGGTTTTTGTGTTTGCCGATTATGGGAAATGCTTGAGTTTGAAGCACGTTTAATACTGTAGTACAATATTTGAATTCTTCCCATTGTGGATATCTGCATGTCGTCGATTTTTCGGTTTTGATTAGCTTCGCAGGAAGTGCCGGAAGCACCTCTAATTCAAATTTTTGAAATTTCTTTAGGACTTCGAGGTCGGTAAACTTCTGGGAAGTGGTGGGTTTGCCGACGTACACCGAGGAATATGCAGAGCCACTGGCGAAGAAGTTGCCCTAAAAATTGTATGTTTTGACCTTCGAAGAAGTTTTACAGTATGCTTTTAATAAAATTGATTATATTTTCAAGATGGACAAGAAGAAAATACAGGACATGAACCTAGCAAAGCGGGTCAGCAATGAAATAAAGCTTCATAAATCTCTCAACCATCCCTCAATTGTTGAACTACTAACGTCCTTCGAAGATGACAAGTATGTGTACCTAATCCTGGAACTGTGCCACGAAGGTGATTTGCAAACGTATCTGAAACGGAATGGAGGTCGTTTGGCAGAGAGAGATGGTGAGTACGTTTTCCTAAAAAATTCATTATTTTAAATTTTGCGGTTGTTGATTTTGAAATGATGAAATATCTCTTTTTCTCGCACAGCTGCAGTTGTTATGTTCCATGTCGCCGACGGATTACGGTACCTTCAGTCCCGTCACATTGTTCATCGTGATCTCACTCTTCGTAATTTACTCGTCACTAAATCTGGATACGTGGTGAGTTTGAAGTTTCCGTTTATCCAATGCTGTAATCATTGCCAAGGTTTTTTTTTTTTCGAAGAAAATCGCAGACTTCGGTCTTGCCGTTCAGCTTAAGCGACCTAATCAACGCCAAATGACGATGTGTGGAACTCTTCCCAGTTTGGCACCTGAAGTTGTTTCGAAGCATTCCCATGGGATGGAATCTGACATCTGGGGTCTTGGCTGCGTGTTTTATACCATTGTTGTTGGGAAGCAGCCGTTCAAGACGAACGAGTTTCAGAAAACTGTCCAAAAAATTGTTCACGAAGACGTGAAGGTTAGCTTACATCTGTTCACGAAATGATACAGTCGACTGCATTCTATTTTTTTGCGCGAAGATCCCGAGTGCTGTTTCGGAATTGGCTCAAGATTTAATTCGTCAAATGTTGACGAAACGACCGGAGGAACGAATCAAGTTGGATGACGTGCTGAAACACCCGTTTTTCCGGAAATGGCCTGATTTGAAACAGCTGGTAAAATTCGCACAGAATTTCAACATTACGTTTATCTTTACTCTGTAATTTTTAGCCTTGTGTTGAATTTCACTCACATGGTTTGATTAATTTACAGACGGGTCAATTGGTGATGGAGAACAGTGCCGACAGTGGACTGGTGACGATGTCCTCAAACGCTGGGTTCCAGCGAACCTGCCAAACAATTCAAGAGGAAGAAAACACTCGAATTCAAGAATTCTCGACGGTTTCATGTTGTGGACATTCGAAAAGGAGCTGTTGCTGCCCTGAATACGCGCCGTACGAAGTTCTACGTTCGGCACCGAATCTGTAAGTCCTTAACCATATATATAATTAATTGATGAAGCTAATTAAATTCATGGTAAACTTCACAGGATTCCTTTGCAAAGAAACGCATCGTCGAAGGAGTACAGTAGCTCAAGCGGCCCTTTAAAAGTATTCAGGAGAGAACCATCCCCGGATTTTCGTGGTGAGTCTTGTGTTTTATGTTGGAAAATGAACCGGAGAATTCGACTTCGGATGCTTATACACGTAGATTCTCTTGACAATTTCCTCTGTGTAACGATTTTCTAATTGGTCACACGGGGTTTCCTACCCATGCTGTAGAGTGGGGAGGTTCTTTACAATGAAATTCTGCAAAAATAGTTGTTTTCCGTTCCCCTGAATTTCTTTGTATAGTGAGTCCACCTGTATTCGCATAAAAAAAAGCTTCTTGTAGTATTCTACACAGTTGCCTTTTGAAAGGTTTATTTCATATTGTTGCACTCGTTGCTAGATAAATTGACGATATAAATTGTTGCTAAATAAATTGACGAAAAATCTAGAAATAATGAAATAATCGTTGAAGTTCTCTCCAAAATCATGGCTTCACCATGTGTTCAACTGCTGTAACCTCTGAACGCTGTAAGTACCGTATGCGATTACGGGAACATTCGAAAGTCCTAGGGGAAGTTGTCAAGAAGTTACCCACTGCATTCTCACTGGAGAAGGGATGAACAGTATAATTTGAAGGACACTGGTCCTTATTATTTTTCAAACAATTTCTATTCGGAAACTGATGAGCACTGCTATGCTAAAATATGAACCATAAAGCAGATGGAACATGCGATGATTGTGTAAAATCAGTGATTTCTGATCCTGCTCGAAATCTTTCATGGGAAATTTTCGCAGTATGAAGATTCATCTAACATACTCCGAATTCGCACACACAACACAACGATGTGCCACAACTTTTCGGATACTACAGGATAGTTCCTACTTTTTGAAATACGATGTACATATTGGAAATCAGCGTTCATTTTTTCGTCTTCAATGCATTTTTTTATGACGATAAACATGTTATATTTATGTTTCATTCATTTAATTTCAGCTGCTGATCAATCTCCGTTGAGTATAGCATCCGAACGTCCGACCCGTCGAAGTCGCAGCTGTTCGTCGAACCGTGAAACTAGAAATACTCGTAGCCTAACGGGAAATTGCGCCTTCTTGGGATCCTGCAATCGTATTGGACGAGAACCTCATGAATCTGTGAGTGCCATCCAGAGATACGGATCTACGCAGCATTTGCACTCGAATGGAACCTGTTGCGGGGATGTTCCACTCTGCTCACGTTGGCTGAGACCGACTAGGCTTCGTGAGAAAACCGTGGTTTTTACCATCCTCGAAGGTGGAGAAGTTGTTCTGGAGTTTCTCCACAAAATGCCGGAGAATGGATCCCTGCGTGTTGTCGAAGTTTTTCGAGTCTCAAATGATGGCCTGAGTGTGAGTCATTTGACTTTTTTTTTAATCCTCGACAGAAACGATTCTGAACAAATGAAGAGTACCAGAATGTGTCCATCATTTTTAAATCGCTTCCTGTTCACATTGTTAATTCAATTTCTTAGACATCTACTACTCAAAGAAGTGATATGTTTGCTGAATGAATGATTTGTTTTCCAGATTCGTATGTACAGACCGAAAAACGCACAGTTTATCGAAGATGGACTCCCTGTTGAGCCGAACAATTCGGCGAAGGAGGAACATTTTTCTTTCGAAAGTCTTCCTGAAAAACACCGGAAGAAATACTTGCGTGCGGAGTTATTTGTATCGCTTGCCAAAGCGAAAACCCCAAAAATCACGTTTTTCTCTGATTTGGCCAAAATCTGCCTGATGCAGAATGAACCTGACCCGGATTATGAGAGCAAATTTTATTCTGGTTTGTGAGCTTTGCGTTTCAAATCGGGATTTTCTGTTGTTTCAATTTAGAGCCTTATTGTTCTTTCGTAGGAGGAAAACTTGTGAGAATGAAAACAAGAGGAATTACAGTAACAACGAAAGACGGCTCGAAGTGGGAAATCAAAATGGAAAATGAAGCTGGAATTTTCAAGAACGAAGCCAAACTAATGTGGGACCATACGCAGAAGGTACGTTTCTTTGAAAATTACAGAGCTTTTAATTTTCTTTTCTTAATAACAAAGAGTACACAAGGGTATTCTTGTAATCTTTGAAAAACTCCACACATTCCGATTTTTCCAGGTGTTGGAACATTGTCGATCGATAGAACGTGTGCTGGAGTCTACTCGTACTGAAATGAACTGCTTTCCTCTTGTTATGGGAACTCCACCAAGCGTGAATAAAAATTCCAGACACGGACATAGAGTCACGACGTCGAAAATGTTCGGTCAGGGTTTGAGCGTTCAGAATAGTTCTACGATTCCCTCTGCGTCAGCGTCTCGGAAGGTTTGTGAGGGTTCCTGCGCGAATATTATCAGCTAAATATCTTTACTGAATTGCAGATCGACGTTTCTGTTGCTTCTTGTCGTGAAAATTCGTACCCTGTTCAAGCCAGATCAGGTTTGCGCAAAGTTCCTGAAGGATACACAAGAATTGACCATATTGGCTGGGCAGCTTGGGTGAGTTTATTTTTTTATCAAATTTCCATTTGTTGAATTAAAGGACAAAGTCTTGTTGAAAATATCACGGGAATCTTTGCATATGCATCATTCTCTTGGAAAATGGAAATTCTTTGCCCTTTCAACAGGATTCTGACGGACTGCTGACCATACTTTTCGAGAATGGTGCAGAATTACGAGTTCCTAGCGATTCAGCGGCAAGTCTTGAAGCGAGAATGTCGTCAACATCTGAGTGGAACAGATATCCTGACCGTAATTCCATGCCGAATGCCGTTCGGCAACTTTTGTCGCAAGTGCCGTCGGTGCTCGAAGTGTTGACTCGGAAACGATCGCTTGTATCGGCCACACATACTGCCCCAGTTTGTATTCGATGATGAAAGCATTTGATAAACTGCATCAGATTAATACGAGATGCGAGCTGAGCTTTAATTCATGTAAATTTATGCTTCAGCTCTAAACTTTGGACCAGTCATTTTGTAAGATGGAAACATTTTGTACTGATGGGATCAGCCAGTATAGAAAAGGAAATGCGTATATTTGTTTGTGTATGCAGTTATTTTGATGTTTGATACATATGCGGTATTTTTTTTTACTAAGAGTTTATTAAATGTTTGATTTATGTGGAATTACTAATGTATGTATTCGAATCATTTATAGGTTAGTCTTTCCATACAATCTTTTAGTTCGCACGATTTTTTTGTGTGGATTTTTCACTAAACGCTTCGCTTTTTTTTTCTCACTAAAATGACGTCTTCTGAGTCTGTCTGCCATTTCGACTTCCCTCTGTTTTCTGCCATAGATTTTCGTCAACCCCCCGCCCTAGCAATCATCTTTTTTTCGCAGTTGATTTTCAACATCTATTTTCACCTGAATATTTGATTCAACAGTAGTGTATCTTGTACATCCAATTTTTACTTCGGTCGGAAAGCATGATCTCTATCCCGCAGGTGACACATGGTTGGAAACCAACTCATGAATGGTGATCTCAAGTTGACGAAAATAAGCTGGAAAACGTGTTGAGATGGTTCAATTTGTATCAGGTGGTCTAGAAACGCCCGGGGAGTACGCACGAAGATCTCGCGCCGAAATATCTTTGTCTTGTAACCTCATTTCCCTATGGGGTGCGTGCGCCGGGAAAAGATGGCGATGTTTCCCGTAGGACAGGGCGTGGGCGTGCGTGAGGTGAGTGAGCTTATCTGTGTTCCGGTTTGTGTGCTAGCGGTGTTTACTTGCGTTCGAACTAATCATTCGTAGACTGGTTGGTTCTGCGTTCTCTCTTAACGAAGGAAGCATTTTCCCAGGTGTGAATTCTTCATTTATTTTGTGATGCGTGAAGCGAACTACCTTTTTCACTCCAGTACCGCGCGCTATCGAGTAAGACACGCACTAGGATTTTTTACTTAAATTCTGATTAAATTCCATAACCAAGTAAGACGCGCGCACACCATTTTCAGTGACTAAAAAGTAAAACCACAATATTTCAAAAGTAAGAACACCTAAATTTGAAGTTAGACAAGAATTGAACGTGAATTCGAAATTAAAAATTTTTTTTCTATTAAAAGGAGTTTTTTGTTGTTTTTCTTGGTCCGAAATTTGCCATCATGCACACCTAAATTTCTAAAACTTTTTGAAAACTATATACCCGTATATGACGCGTACCCCATTTTTTTCTCACAAATAAAAAAAAGGTGCGAATAGTACTTGAGTAAATACGGTAGATATTCTTGGTGGAAATATTCATGTCTGACAGTTAGTTTCTCCAGTCCGTTGGTTTTCTTTCACACTTCTAGGACTGTGTTGTTCCGATTTACGAAGGAATTTAATTGTCGAGAGCAGCTGGGAAACGTGGTGCATGAACGGTTCTTTCTGTTTTTTTCCGTCGTAATTGTGCGTGTTCGTGGTTCTGGTTGAAGCTTGTTGAATTAAGATGATCGTGCTCTGGTTTTAGATTTTTATTCGTGCTCAATATCGCTTACAGGAGTATTCTGGCTGCAGAACGAAGCAGTTTTTCGCTGCTTCACGTTTCAGGAGCTATGCCGGAATATCGGGTGAGTGGATCAACTGTTCGTGAAAGTATTGTACTGCGTGATCACTTATTTTTGACGACATGCAGGTATACAGTACTGTACTGTATATTGTAAATGAAGTACTAGCTTTTGAGAGAGCTATTGCGCTGGAGACTCGAAATTCAATGTCCGATTCAGGCCAAAAAAGGTTTTCATTTTTGCTTTCAGATTTGAAGAATGTTGCCAGTTTCGAGGCAATTACTTGCGCCGATTTTCACCTCCTTCGCTGCGATCTTGATCTCGCTGAACTATGCTACACATCTGAAGTATTCTCCATTTTTCGTCACGCCAAACAACTTCTCATCTATCGTGCTGCAGCAAGAGCGCACTCGTTATGTGGAGGACTCGATTCATCTACAATCCCTCGGACCTGTTGCCGTGATGAAGAATGGTTCCAGTGCACCAAAAATATTTGTAGTGGTGATTTCGTTGCATCGCTGGGACTCGAAAGCCCAAGTCGGTTTCAATTACGCGGTTTCATCTCTCGCTGCTTTGTTTAGGCAGGCATACTCGAGTGAAATTGAATTCTCAGTTTGCGATGTGAACCGTAGTCCGGATAGTGAGCTCCAAGTTTTAATCTCCCGCTTGAACCTGACGGTGTTTGTTAAACGTGATTCGACTTGGCGATTTTCTGAGACCCCCTACGACAACGAAAGGTTGGATTACTTGTTTTGCTTGAAATCCGCTAAAGATTTTTCACCAAGGTCGGAATTTTTTCTGGTGCTGCAAGACGATGCTGTGGCTGATGATGGTGCTTTACAGTATTTAATTCGTAACTTGTCCCGGTTTCGAGAAGTTTTCGGAGTCAAGTTGCATTTCCCACCGAAATGGCAAGGGTTCTCTCTTGATCTCCCCACATTCTCCGAAATGCTCGGGACTTTTCTAGTGTTCGGTTCATTGCTGGGGATTGCGGGATCGAAGCTTTTGCGGTATTCGTCAGTTTTTGAGAGAGGATTTCTGATTTTTGGCACTTGTGCCACGTTGGTGTGTTTAATTCTTGGAAGGCAGCATTCGGTGCTTTCTGTCAAAAGTTGGCTGGGAATTCATTCGTTTTCGGAGTTGTCAAAGTGCTGTATTCCCGCGGTTCTGTTTCCTAATGGGATCATTCCCATGATAGTGGAGGGAATGAAGGATATTAAATGTTCCAAAGACGTGCCTTTCGATATTGCCTTAAGTGTGTTCGCTGACGAGGCAGGGAAGCGGTTTCCTTTTCTGGAGCCGAATTTGTTCAAGCATGCGGGTCGTGTCTCAACCCTGTCGAAAACAAAAAGTGATTTGGACTATTATAATTTGTAGCGTCTCCTGCTTCCTACCTGAAGGAAAAGTTTAAATTTGTGCTGAAATATTTGATGGCTTGCGCTTTTCTGTGTTCCATGGACCAAAATAACATTGTTGAAAGACTTGTGTTGGACGAAGTTCCTCGTGTTGTGAGTCGTATAGCATAAAGTTAACATCTCTTTTATTGTAAGAGTAAATTAACATAAACGAAAGCTTCAGGCTATCAACAAGTCAAGATTGCTTCCAATTCCTGATGCTAAGGTTTTTTTTTTTTCACCGCGACAGGGTTTTGTTAATTTGCAGTTTGTTCTAGGGGTAGGGTGTGGCGCTATTTCGTAACTTCCGTGAGTCGTCGATTCTGCATTCTGTGGTAGTCTGAGAAAGTGGCTAGCTTCCATGTTCCAGCTCTTCCTGTGTCTATTTTGAGGTCTGAAACTTGTCTGTTTTCTTCAAGTGAACCATCTTGGAGCTTACATTTGTTGTAATCCAACGCTTTTTAGCACGCGAAGGATTATTTATTAGTGGGTTTCTTCACGCGGCAGTATAACCCTAATTAGGAGTGACAAATCACTTCTACCCTATTGATCGAAAAAGCGGGTCGGAAATTTTGAAAAAGGTTGTTGAACGGGAATCTTATCTTCCGATGTAAATGAAACTGTTTTTCGAAGGTTGGGCGGTTCTTCGAATGATATAATTTCGGGGGATGTTCCGTGTGGTTGAGAAATTGTGCGCAATGCTGATGGCTTTTTAATGCTACCTGTTGTTCGACGTCGTGATAATGTACGTGGCCTTAATGACACTTCTGAATTGGAATTATTTACGTTTATTTTTTTTAACCACTTCGTGTATTATCAGTGTAGACTATAGTGACTCTTGAGACCGCTTTTTATTTTTAGTGGGAAATGGCAAGTGGCATCAACGTTATCAAGGAGACGTCCAGACGTCGTCATCTTATCCGTGGATTATCGGGGGAAGATTCAATTAGGACAAACGATGATGATGAAGGTGTCACTAGAAGCAAGGCGTCGAGATATAGACATCATCTCAGCTGTTCAGGAACCAACTCCGACGTTTTTGAACCGCAAAAGAACGGTTGCGTAAGGTTTCTTTCTTCGTCTCATGATACAATACCGGGAAAAAGAACATGTTTCAATTTATTTTTGAAAATTCTCCAGCTTTACGGAAAAAACGAGTTCGTGAGATCTTCGGTGGGAAATATCGAACATCTCCTTTCATCTTGGCTTCTGTTTCGCGGAAGTGTGTATGTCGAACTACAGTTGAAGCTGAATTACTTGAACCTCTTTAAGTCGAATTCCTCCTTTTCCCAATTTTTTTCGAGTACCAGTCTGGATTCCCTCTGGAACAATGCATTAAAAACTTCCAGAAATCAAAGGCTTTCCTCTTCAAGCCTCCATGAGTCGAATTTTCTGGAGGTCTTTTGTCTATTATTTAAATGACAAAGGGTAAGATGAAAGCAATAAAAATGTTACTTGATGTGTTTTGAAAGGATGTGACAAAGTAATTGGGCAAATAAACCCTTGCCTCCCAGTGCAGCTTCCTGCGAAATCATTTAATAAGAAATTTAAGGCCCAGAATATGACTGATTACAAGTTCCTGTAATGCTTATTTCTTTCTCCAATAAAAATGCTGGTTTCCCTGACTCAAAACCTCCCTAACTTGAATTACTGGTCCATTGAAGTTTGACTACTTGAAGAGGACAATAGATTGGTCGTCTCCCATATGCCATTCTCCGTACCCTGCTTTTTTGGAATACTCCTATGATATTGAGGGGATGTGAAGAGGGTCATTTTCTTCAAATTTTTCTCTGAAATTTGTTGATGATCCCTTGAAATTATGGAACAAGGCACTATTATACAGTATTTCTTCATGACAAATTCAGGTGTCTCCTAGATACGAGAAAATCAACGACTTGATGATCTCAATGCGTGAGCTTCGCGAAGCTGAAAAAATCTGTCGCAGTCGCCTACAGCATGAGAAACTTCGGAGGGATCGTTCTGTCAGAAGTTCAGAAAAGCGCGGAAGTGTTTTTTCAGTAACTCGAGGAACGTCGCCGGATTCGCGAGGTCCATTAGCTAGTGATGAGGCTATGGCAGTCAACTGGGCGTCAACCCTTTTTGCTTCGTGCTATTTTGTTCTTGCCATTCTGGTGACCTCTGTGGCAGTAGTTGTTACGGAACTGAGAGTGCCTGATCCCAAAAAGTGAGTTGGTGCATCCTTTCTCTAGCAATGCCCGAATATGGATTGAATCTGTTACAGTATTATTCATTAATTATCCAATGGCAGTGCATTAAATTTGCGCTTCAATATTTCCACCAATTTTTAATTTTGTTCAGATAATTCACTTTAACCCGGGATTATAATGGACTTGGGTGCCCCGTTTTTCGAGGATTACCGTTGGATGAAAGCTTCGCGGCGGTTATTTCTGTTGTTTCGAAAATGTAACTTGGTGTGGTATCAAGCGACACCTATATTCAGTATTGTGGACTATGGTGACGTTGGGTATGTTAGTAATAATGATGTATGACGACGCTCTAACGAAATTTAAGAGTCCGATGTGAAGGACTACAGTGCATTCTCTCTGACAATATGTACCAGTTGGACTCTCTTCAATAAGGGACCGGAAAAGAGAAATTCGTTTCGGGAGAATTTAGTTGCAGAGAATCCCTTTAATATGGTGAGAGAACCTTATGCAATGGGACCAAAAAATTGTTCGATGGAGAAAAATCGTATAGACGAGATCGTTGTATAGATACAGATGGAGTTCGATGCAACGAATTTCTCTGTATCAAGATTTTTTTGGTCCCAAAGAGGGGTTTAAAAAAAAATTCTATGTACAACGAATTTATTTTGGGTCATCTGAATTTAATTTTCGCCCTGAGTATACTCTGTACTAAATCTCAGCGGAAGATTCATGTCGATCATTTTTCAACAGGTATCCCCCTTTGCCGGATATAATCCTTGAAAACCTGCGGTTCATTCCATGGGGCTTGAAAGCAGCAGAATTCGCAATAATGACTCTGTTTCTTCTCTTTGGATTCATATTTTATATTCACAAGCACAGGTCAGTATTTGCCGTAGCGTTTATATTGGAATACAATATTTGCTTAGCTAGTACGTGAATTGAGCAAGTTTTTATTTTGAATCATTCATTTCGAACAGGGACATCATACTGCGGAGATTCTTCGTAATAGCTGGCACGGGTTACTTTTATCGGTCTCTCACCATGGTCGTTACGTCTTTGTCAGTTCCTTCGCCGCATTTGAAGTCATGCTACAAGTTGGTGAGCTTTCATGTCCTTCCCTGAGTAGTTCGTTGTGATTCGATCCTTTTTAATCGTGGGAGGCATCGACATTTGATGAAAGTTTCTCGAATTCTACGCCTCGTGCTAGAATAAATCACGTGCATTCTGTGTTATAGAAAATTGAATCTTTGTCTGTAATGTACATGAGTGTATATATGGAATGTTTCTGGTACGAGAGTGGTCGGAAAGTAAAAGTAAAAGAGAGATACTGTACAAGATATTGTACTTGGAAGAAAGGGAGCTGTCTCGCTGTGTGCGTGTTATGCTTCCGCAATCCAATTCAAACTTGCTTTTGTGGGGCGATATTTTCTGTTTGTGTATTGCATCCCCGTCATGATGGGAAAATGAAATATTCCATTTCTTTAGAAATCATCACCTTGAGATTTTCAAAGATTTTTTTATTCATGGCGTGTCTACGATATATACGTTGAAAGATTTGTTGCAAGTAATTCACGCGGCACAAATCCGCGTCTGCACTGCGATTAAAGTACTTCATATTTAGTCCAGTGGCTATTTGAGACAGAACGCAAAATTAAGGTATTTTTATATGGTATGTTCTTGTCTTCCTTCTTAATCTTGCTCGTAATATGTAGTCCTTGCTTTCTATATCCGTCCCATATCAATTATCTCCATGACTCATCCTTTGTGTCTACTTGATAAAAAAAAATTATTGTTCATCATTTATGATTCTGTTAATGTCTAGACTTCTACAACATTTTGATGTTGCCCGTCCTTAATTGAGCCTCATCCTTTGTTGGCTTGTTAGATATATCCCTCTGTATATTTTATCATCAAGTATAAAACTGACCTGTTTAATTATCCGGACTTTGTTTAGTTTCGATTCATGTGAGAAACATACCAAGAGCGGTTTTTTTTTTTTATATCGTACGCACTGTTAACTTCATCCGCTTCACGAGATTTGCAGGAATGTCAATATCATATTTAATTATTAAATGCGTCACTATTGAATTTCACCAGTAATTGTTGCTATTCCAGGTGTTGAACAACGCTTTCGATGTTATTGATGTACAGTACTGTGTTCTATTTTATTATCTGAGGAAAGGCACCCGCGATGGGGAGCATGAATAAGTTAAACTGTGTTTGAATATCAACTGCAATGTGGAAAAATAACATCACCGCATTATTTTGAAAGTCTTCACTCTTCAGCGGAATAGATGAGCTTCTTTCTTCGACGGAAAGTGAGAATTGTGCAACACTTTTCTCTTACTTTGCTGCGTGACAAAGGTGAGGGGAAGTTAATGATCGTGGAACTAATTTGAAAGAGGAAGCAATAAAGGTGCACAATATGTCGACAGCATCATCTGTTTCTATTCACTTACGCTAAATGGGGTTATTTATGAATTTAACCCGAAAGAGATGACTGAACTGTTCATCGATGGTCTTGAACCCTGCGGTTCGTATGCATTTTCGTGGTACATTGGGGCTCTGTAGATACGAGGGTTCTAACAAAAGTTCTCGGAGTAGCAATGAAAACTGTGTACAATTGAACTGAAAAAAATTTATTCTTCAGGGAAAACATATTCTTTGGCACACAAGAAAATCAGCCCGGTTTGAGAATTTTTTTATAATTTTTTGCAAAATTCATTCAGATAGAGTTTTGCTCTCCACTCAAAAGATGAGGCGCCCTTTTTTTTATTGTAGCCCAGCTTTCCCCTCAGAATTCTCGAAATCAACGTGGAATTCATGCCAAGGGTTGCCTCCAGGTCATCTAATGTAATTCCGCCATTTTCATCAACAGCCGCCTTCACAGCCGCCAAAGTGGCGGCCAATGTGGCGGCTGTGAAGGCGGCTGTTGATGAAAATGGCGGAATTACCTTGGATAACCTGGAGGCAACCCTTGGCATGAATGCCACGTTTTTTTCAAGAATTCTGAGGGGAAACCTTGGTTACAATAAAAAAGGGCGCCTCATCTTTTGAGTTGGAGAGCAAAACTCTATTGAGATGCATTTTGCAAAAAAAATTGTCAAACCAGGCTGATTTTTGGGGGTGTGCCAAAGAATATGTTTTCCCTGAAGAAGAAATTTTTTTCAGTTCAATTATATGGCATTTTCATTGTTACTCCGAGAACTTTTGTTAGAACCCTCGTATATTGAGAAATTCGATGGACCTTCAGGAACAAAAAGCGTTGTATCGAGAGAAGTTCTTATATTGTAGAGAATCCGATAAAATGGGGAGAGAACCCTATGGGGCAAGATCAATTTTCGTTATGCAGAGAAAATTTTTGTTGACGAAATTGTTGTGTATAAAATCCACTTGTACAATATTTTGTGTTTTATTTTTAAATTGTCGACTGCAGTATGATTGAACTGGGCGGCATTTTCTCTGCAGGGTTTCAGCAATCCTCATGCGGTGTACTTTCCTATATTGGTCAATCTTCTCACAATTCAATTGGATTACATTGTAAAACTCATGAATTCATCAATAATTATCAGCAATGCAGAAAATTGAGCTCAACCAGGGAATTCTGTGGGTAGACAAGTTCGTGTCAGATCCTGACGTGTCTTCGTGAACCCTCTATAACAGTGTTCCCCAACCTTTTTGGTCCCACGGATCTGCCAATTTCCATGAAATATTTTTGCGGATCGGCAAATTTCCAAACAATTTTCTGCGGGCAAGCGAAGGTTCATGAAATTTTCTGAGGATCAGCAAATTTTCATAACATTTTTGCATGGTCAAAAAAGGTTTGCTTGAAAGACAGACAGCTTGAATGGTAGGTATTTGAAATATTTCTGCGATTTGTTGCGCAATAATTAGGTCAAGAACCATTGAAGCAGCTATATTGAAATTTCTTCAATAAATGGAAATGTGGGCTCGAAGAAAGGTTTTTTTAGGCTCAAAAATTAAAATAATTAATTAAATCAGGTAAAAAGTCGTCTGAAGTACTGTATAGTATAGGAGAAAAGCCAAGATATGTTTTTCATGAGAAATTTTCAACTGCCATTGTCTTGCCAAAATTTGCTGCAACATCCTTCATTGCTACTTTTGAAAAATTCATTAGCCTGGAGAAATTTCCCGCGGACCGGCAAAAAACTTCTGCGGACCGGTGCTGGTCCGCGGACCACGGGTTGGTGAACACTGCTCTTTAAAGCCCGTATAAGGAAGAGCAAGACCTTTTGAATGAACCCTCGTACTTGTCTAATGCTGACATTTAAAAATTTAAATGAAATACTTCGTGAAATGTAGTTTCAAGCGCTTGATTGTTTAAATGATGACGTTTCGGGCGAGTTTCCCGGCCTAGTGTGAAATTGCGTCTATATTTACTCGTCCGCGTATATATGCTGATGTACATTACTGTATAAGGACCATTTAAATGTCCTTTCCCCAGAAAAATTCCATAAAAAATGATAATGCGCTGAAACTGAATGAATAGATTTCTGTGATTCGAAAGGGAGCTCAATAGGTCCAAGTTGACATGTCATGCATATACGACATAACACAAACTACCATTTGTTGACTACTACTGCAGAGTAGAAGGCGACTTATGTTCCCAGCGCTTTTACCGCGCTGAAAACGTCGAGTGATGCGTGGCTTCCGGGACATGACTCTGAAGGGTGGCTCGGCTTTGGCAGGTGTGCGGACGTGTGGAGATTACATGTTTTCAGGCCACGGATTCCTCATCACCCTCCTGGCGTATTTCAACAATGAATGTGAGTCGACAACGTTTCAATTAAAAATCAACGGTCCAGCTTATATATTTTTATAGCGCTTCCGGTATATAAACAAAATCGCCTTAGTCGGAATTTTGGCAGAAAAAGAAGCACATACATTATATCATCCGTGTGGCGATCATGAAAGCTTGTGATTGTTTTTCTCTATATAGGATGAAAACGAAAAGTTTATCGCGATCGCCGTTAATTGTTTCAAGGAAACCGCACGGTTTTTATTTTTTATTAATTTTTTTGTGTGTGTCGATTACTTTGTCTGAATGGTGATTGAGTGCAACATATAGCTTATGATTTTCATTTCGCAGAATCTGCCTGCTTGGATCCTGTGTGTTTTACTATTGCTAAACCTGTCCGAGAGCTTCAATGAAAAAAAAAAAAATAGGGAACCTCAAAAAATTCAAACCGTTTTTTTTACACTCCTGATTGAACTGTTGTCGAAAATATCTTCGCGCATGCTCAAAAAAAAAACTCGTAAGGCAATCGAGAGATTTTGATTAAACATGAATAATTTTGTTTCTGTTTCCATGAGTTGGATAACTCAAACCTGCCAAAGTTGAATATACTGTATACTGTACCTATGTCGAACTTTTTTCAACTGGTCCCCGGCTGAATTCCTTTGCGAGGAATGCATCAAAAACCTCGGAAATTTTAGGGCTTTCTTCCTCAAATCTCCGTCACTGAAAGTGTCTGAGGGGCTTTTGGATATTTGTTTTATTTACACAAGCCAGATGAAAGCAATACAAATGTTACCCGCCGATGTGTTTTTGAAAAGAAGTGAAAGATTAATTGGGGGAAATGAACCTTTGCCTCCCAGTTGAGCATCATCCTGTCAAATTTTAAAAGTCATCTGAAGCCCACAAAGTCACTAATTGCAACTTCCTGTAATATCCCAAGCAACAAAACTGTTCTTCCCCTAACTGATGGAAACCTCAATAATTCAAATTTTTCTGCTGGTTCCTCGAACTTCGACTTGAAGAGGTTCAGCTTTTTTTTTTTTTTTTACAAATATTACTTCCAGTTTTAACTTCTGCAGACTGAAGTATCTTCAGATATGAACTAAGCACATACATTATATCATCCGTGTGGCGATCATGAAAGCTTGTGATTGTTTTTCTCTATATAGGATGAAAACGAAAAGTTTATCGCGATCGCCGTTAATTGTTTCAAGGAAACCGCACGGTTTTTTTTTTGTTTGTTTTTTTTTTGGTGCTGGTCGATTACTTCGATGCTGTCTGAATGGTGAATGAGTGCTACATACAGTATATCTTATTATTGTCATTTCGCAGAATCTGCCTGCTTGGATCCTGTGTGTTTTACTATTACTAAACCTGTCCGAGAGCTTCAAAAAAAAAAAAATAGGGAACCTCAAAAAATCCAAACCATTTTTTTACGCTCCTGATTGAACTGTTATCGAAAATATCTTCGAGCATGCTAAAAAAAACTTTTAAGGCAATTGAGAGATTTTGATTAAACATGAATAATTTTGTTTCTGTTTCCATGAGTTGGATAACTCAAACCTCCCAAAGTTGAATATACTGTACTGTATACTGTACCTATTTCGAACTTTTTTCAACTAGTCCCCGTCTGAATTCGTTTGCGAGGAATGCATCAAAAACCTCGGAAATGTTAGGGCTTCCTTCCTCAAATCTCCGTCACTAAAAGTGTCTGAGGGCATTTTGTCTTTTTTTTTTATTTACACAAGACAGATGAAAGCAATAAAAATGTTACCCGCCGATGTGTTTTGAAAATAAGTGAAAGATTAATTGGGGGAAATGAACCTTTGCCTCCCAGTTGAGCATCATCCTGTCAAATTTGAAAAGCCATATGAAGCCCAGAAAGTCACTAATTGCAACTTCCTGTAATATCCCAAGCAACAAAACTGTTCTTCCCCTAACTGATGGAAACCGCAATAATTCAAATTTTTCTGCTGGTTCCTCGAACTTCGACTTGAAGAGGTTCAGCTTTTTTTTTTTTTTTTACAAATATTACTTCCAGTTTTAACTTCTGCAGACTGAAGTATCTTCAGATATGAACTTAAGTATCGCTGTGAAGCGGATTTGATGTTGACTCATCGTAGGAACAACGGCTTTGTTGAATTCGAAACGTTTGTTTCGGTTCTACTTTTTCTGTCGTCGAAAAAAACAGGAAAGAATTGTTGGTCACTGAATATACAGTACTTGTTCGAAAGGCGTCAAAAAATAAACAAACGAACGCAGTCATTCTTTTGGAATCGACAAAATAATTTTTGCTGTTATGCATGTCTGTTAATTTGGATGAAGAATGGCATCGTTTTCGTGGTCCTCGTTTTTATCATCCTGACATGTTCCCTCTTCGTTTTCTTGTCCATAATTCTGGATTTCTGGTGCATAACTTTTTATTCTTTTCTCTATGAACGGTCCGTGCAATCGAATTGTGTCAATGACTTTATCTTTCTCATGCGTGTTGGTTTGCCCGTGACGAAATTACATCTAGGTTATTGAAGTACGGTACCTCGAAAAGAAAAAAGAAAAAAATGCGTGCAGAAGAATTCGATTTCCTTTTCGGACGCAAATGACAGTGTCTTGACGTGTGAAAAAATTCTTACTGTACTAAACAAAACGTTTGATTCTATTATTACTGAGTTTTTGAAACATCAGCAAATATCCTGGAAAAATACAGGAAATCCAGATATGTGGTGCATAGATGCACGTCTCACTTGGAACATTTTTTCGAGCGATTCATTTTGAAAATGTCTGCAAAAAATGTTTCTCAAGTACCTGCGATTTTGCTTTAACTTAGTATCACATTATTTTCCAATGTATAGAATTTCAACAAAACTTGAAATAAGTGGTCCAACTTCGCAAGGTCCACCTCTATCATAATTTACTCCAACCGTGGCATATTTAAAAAAAAAAAGGCTAATACAGTATCCAAACAAACCAGGAATGACAAAAAAAATTGGATCAGCTGTATCCGCTGTGAATGGCTTAGTTCCAGATTCATGAGGAACGGGTTTCTTCTTTTCCCCGTATATTCATCCCCATAGATTGTCCGGAGATGATGAGATGGCGGCACTTGAGTCGGCTGTTGCGTGCGCTCAACTTGGCCACGGCGGCGCTCGGCGTGTTCTTCGTGCTGGCGGGACACGAGCACTACTCTGTGGACATGGCAGTGGCGGTGTTTGTGGCGGCGCGGCTCTTTACTGCTTACCACTCGCTGGGCAATGGACTCGCCAGTCGGCTGCGCCATTCCACACGCTCCTGGGTTCGTTAT